TGTGGTTGGGACAGAGTTTGCCTGGACACCGGGGAGCCAGCCAGGGTCTTGTCAATTCTGTATAGCTTTGCCCTAAGTTTCTATTTTGTTCTCTGAAAGCTCATTCCATCTTTCACCTTAATTTACTACCCTAATCTGGGCAACTCTAATTTTGATTCTGTTTATATCTCCTATTGTCTAGAAGCCATCTCCACTTGAATGCTTCATTTAGAACACAAACAACTCTGAGGCATGAGCAACTTACACCTTTCATTTTGTTGAAATAATATCTGCAGCCACAAAGAGGAAAAGTGGCAACATCAGGCAGCAGTTTTCCAAGTTCTATTGCAATATACAAGGTTCCAAATCAGATTCCCTCTTGTTCTTTCAATCCCTTTTCTGGGGCTTAAGGATGGACAACCCTATTGCCTTGTTCTGCACCACAGTACCAGCCACATCACCACCACAGAACCTGTCATCGTCTTCAACTCTATGAACTGGGTAAGCACCTCCTCACGCTGTCCATCTCCAGATTTCATGAAATAGCAAACACACAGTTTAGCTTTAACTAAAGGAAATAATTTTAAAACTGAATTTGGGAGAAAGTAGAATTCAAACATTTGAAAAACCTTTGGTTTGCTGTGGTTTTTATCTGATTTTATTTAGCTTTACTTGTGTTTGAAACTTATTAAAATTATTGTATGTAACTATTGCCTTCAAAAAGTGAGTATTCCTTCTGAAAGGAATCTTTTTTTTATATATAAAGATTACAGGAAATGTTTAAATTAGCACTACACTGTTCAGCTGTAGTTTGGTTCCGATTTATTAGTTCTAGAAGGAAATACCAACATAATTTGACCCAATGATTTTACTTCCATGTGTTTAGTCTTAAAGAAGCAAAGATGCTTCTAAAGATACATGTTTAGGCTATTACTTTCGCTTTACTTGCAATACTGAAGAATTTTGAGAGATCTAAAAATAGAACAATGGTTTAATAAATGACTATATTCATGTTAAACAGTATATTCACTGAATATATTATTTTGAAAAACATGATGGTATGGAAAACATCTATGCTACAATGTCATAGAACAGTGACAATAACAAGAACAAAAAACCACTGAAATTGATCTTTAAGATTCACTTAAAGGCAATAGCTGTATGTGTGCATAAAATGTATAAATATAAATAAATATATGTATGTGGCATGAACCATATGTGGCATAAATGTAGGTAGTATTCAAGGGTTTTAATTGGCTAATTTTAAGTAACGGGTTTGCAAGTAATTTTAAAATATTTTCTTTTACGTATTTTTTTTTCAAATGCTCCTCTAGAAATGTATTATCCACTTATTCACATATTTAATGAACAAGTAGAGAAATATTAATGGTGCCAAGCACTGTGCTTTGTGCTGAAGAGATTAAAATAAACAAGACAGAAGTGTTCCTTGCTATCCTCATGAATCAGGTGGACATGGGACCATCCACACACTGACCTCAGGCCAGGACCTGCTTACACCAAATACATATATACACATATATACACACACACACACATGACTATATATATATGTTGGGAAAACTACATATATATGACTATATATGTGTGTATACATGTATGTATAAGGTATGTATGTGTGTATATATGTATGTATTAGGGGTGTGTGTGTGTGTGTGTGTGTGTGTTTTTCCTGGCCCTCATAATTAATTCCCTTACTTATTGCCCAGGCCAGACCAGTTGCCCTGCTTCTCCTGGGCCTCACTGTATTCTGTAAAAATGATGGTCATTTCCACCAGGTATGATTCTCTAGACATGGACAAGTCCAAGACTGGACTCTGTAACTGCAACATTTCAGGGACATTTCTATAACCTGACCTTGGCTATAACCTTGGCTTCTTGGAAAGTCCCTAAGGGGCAGTGGGGGTGCTTATCACAAGACACTATCTCATTCCAGGATGAGATCTTGCTTTTCTTTGACACTTTAGGCAGTAAGCGGATTGTCCCAGATTGTTTTCTGTAAATGGAATCACAAGAACCTGTTTGCCTGGTTCTGTTATTCACTATCAAGTGGGATGCAACTCTTACTGACTGGATAAAGTGCATGATGCTTAAACTGGGCATCTGTTCCACATGCAGGGGAATGGGACAGTCCGCTGGTTAGTGCTGGCTGGTGGAAAAAAAAAAGTGTTCCTTGCTATATAGAGTTTATAATCCTTTTAAATTAGAAGGAAACTTTTGTAAATTTCATTTGACCAGTAATTCTACTTCTGGGAATCCATCTTAAGCATAGAATCATGAAAGCAGAACAAATTCATCATGTAAAAATATTCAGTAGAGAATCAATAATAACAGGAAGAGCTCTATGTCACCTAAATGTCCAACAATAGGGGAATGGTTAAAAAATAACATAACCAAGTAAGAGAATGCTAGGAAACTATTGAAATTATGGTTCTGGAGATTTTTAAAATAACATGAGAAAATGCTATTAGTACTTTCCATTACTACCAATAGAAAAAAAGTAACAAAATTACATAGACTCTGCCCTCAATTATGCAGTGTAACATTTATGAAAGTGAAATTCAAGTACTGGCAGATGCTATTTCTAGATGATGAAGGAATCGTTGATTCCACAAATCGTTGATTTGTATCTATGTTATTCACATTTCCTATATCTTCTGCAATGAACACAGTTTAATTTCATGGTCAGGGAGACCACATTGCTATTATTAGTGTATCCATTTAAAATTTAAGGAATATATAAAATGCAATTTAACATTTCCTGTAAGTCTGCATTTTCATATTAAAGAAGAAGGAATAATTCATATGGAGGGAATTTAGGGCTCTTTTCCTCTCAAACTTTCCTCGTAGAGAAAGGATGACTGTGTATGGACGTACACATGCGTGCCAGGGCCTGGGAGGGAGTTTGCAACAAGCTCAGGAGGCTGAGCAAAGAAATACAGGAGGAAACACGGAGGATGTGGGGCTAGGAACCTGAATCCTCAGCGCTGGCTTTATTTTGAGCTGCCATAGATGACCTTCCTGGGTTAAGTGCGCTCATTAGGAACAGGCAGGCATTTTATGTCACTGGCATTTCCAACAGCTTCGAACACCCTATTTCCTCTGATCTCAAGGAGTAGATGTCAAAGAGCACTGGGGTTCTACGATGTTTTACCTAAAGAGCAACACCAGCGGAATGGAAATCTGGTACCCTGCCGGGTTGACCAGGAGGACCCTGACACTGAGTCCTACTACCAATTGTCTAAGTTCAAAAGGAAAGAGCAGGGCTGGGAACACAGCCCATTCCTCTGTAAGCCAAGGGCAGAGAGCTGTCTGCTGGTGCTCCATCCACTGAGGAATGTTCCAGCTCACACTGATTGCCAGGTCTCCCTAGAATTCATGCAAAGCATCATTCCAGTAAAAAAAAAAATCATCTTACCATCTGATTTACAGAGCATCAAGAGAATGCATATAAGAACAAAATGATTATACTCACATGTCATGCCATGAACTTTGTCCTGTTTGCATTTTTTTTTTAAGTTCAAGCAAGCTGTTACGAGGTTAAAGGAGCAAATGAATGCAGAGAGGTTTACAAGTATACCTGTGTTTCAGAATATCTCAAAAACAGAGTAGTAAGGCAGGTGACTTTATGAGAGAAGTCATTTCACTACCACTTTGAGTAAATGGTTTGTCTAGGCTTAAAGCATAAATTGCTTTACCACACCAGACACCAAACACGTGAGAACTGTGTAAATGCAGGTGCACACGGAACTCATCAATCAGCATCCGCAGACCACTGCAAAGGACGGAAATACAGATCTCCCTGATTCTACAAGTGTTCATTGACTGTGGGCAAACACTTCAATAAAAATACTTGTATCAACCACAGCTCTAACCCAGAAAAGACCTCAAATCCATTACAAGTTACAAATAATCTTTATGCAAAAGGGGTAGTGGTTTGAAAAGTTTTTTTCGTATTAAGTTTTTTCTTTAACTCCTTGTGTTGCTTATATTCACTTGTCTCAGGGAAGACATAAGAAATCCATCAACATCACACTGGCAGGTGTTGTAAATGTATCTCTGCATCCCAGGTGAATTTGTAACACTTGAGCACACAGTCGCACACATTAGAGACCCATGGCATCTATGAAAAGGCTAATACCGGTAGCCGAGCTCTGATACCCAATCTATCATCATGCCACCTTCCAGAATGCTAGCCTTTCCCCTTTCAGTTATCTGCTGAAACCCAAACCTATAGGTTGCAAGAAAGGAAGCACTCTCATATTGCCTTTACCAAACATGCTTCTTTGTGAATACAGCAGGCTACAAACACTGGCCTCCCATGACAAGCGGAATCGAGAGAGTTCCTCAAGGAAACTCTATGGAGTGCCCCCAAGAGCAGCACAGCTGCCTCCCGTTCCTGAGTAGGGTTGGCTGACAGCGCAAGAGTGAGCAAGCACAATTAAGATCTGGAGCACTTGAGCATGCAAAGTCCTGGAGTCATCAGGAAACAGTGAAACTTGAGGGTTTCTGTTCAGGTGAATTGAATACGCAGAGGCGAGGGCAGAGACAGCAGATGTGGAGGAACTGATGAAGCCCCCATTGAGGCTAGCCCCGTGGCCAAGCGCTGGTGTTCAGGTTAACAGAGAGGAACTATATGGAAAAGGAGCAAAACAGGAGTTGAAAGAGAAGTGTGAGGGCTATGAGTGAAGAAGGAATGAAGAAAGGGAAAGTACACCTGAAGGAAGTGTGTGTGTGTGTGTGTGTGTGTGTGTGTGTGTGTGTGTGTTGGAAGGAGGGGAGATCAGTGATGGGTGAAAAGGAGGAGAAAAAGAAACACAAAATCAGAAGTAAAACAAAGACATAAGACAGTATCTCCCATCAACAAGTGACTCAGTTGAGTGTCAGTAAAAGCCTGAGGGGTTGAGAGGCCAGTCTTCCCCTTGGGCCCTATGCTATCCAGCCCCAAACCTCCACAGCCACACCACAGTACTTTCCCCCCTTTTCACAAAGGGTAAGCTCACCTATCAAAGGCTACAGCTGTCATGGAGTAGATACTGGCAAAGACTGCAGCGATGGGGAAGAAGTTGTGGAATTTGCAGTAGAACAGCCCATAGTACCACTCGTTGTGGACAGCATAGGTGAAGTTCACCACCGTGTTGAAGGCAGCCATGGAAGCCTCCGCGAAGGCCAGGTTCACAAGGAAATAGTTGGTCACGGTTCTCATTCTCTTGTGGGCCAAGATGATCCACATCACCACCACGTTGCCCACCACCGAAGTCACCACGATGACCGTGTAGGCAGCCGCCCAGAGCACAATTTGCCAGGCTGGCTGCACGAATTGGTTGGGCTCTGAGGTGTTGGTGGAGATGTTGGGGAAGAGGTCCGAGCCCACCTGCAGGACGTTATCCATTTCCCAGGCAAACAGCTCCTTGGCAAAGCCCTCGCCTCTGCACTCAGCTCCTTCCCTTTGCAGCAGGGTCCTGAGACCTGCTGCTTGGAGCTCAGGAACTTGCCTACCACCCACAGAAGGGCAGAAGACTCCTTCTGGGTAAAACCCTCCCCTTGGAAGCAGAAAACTCGGCACTTAGAAAATTAACGTTTCTAGATGTGCCGACTGCCCTCCCCTCCTGGCTCAATTCCTCCACTTTCAAGCGTCGGGAAGCATTGGAGTGAAATCTGGAGACAGCGTCTCTCCCGTGTTCTACTGGAGTAGGGAAGAAATTCCAGCGGTTACAGTTCTAGGAAGCCAAAAAAATCTTTCTGCACCTGCTGCTGGTTGCAACTCCTATTTCGCCTTCCCTGGGCGGGAAAAGGCAAAGCTTTGTGCTGCCTGAGGTCTTGGGGGAGAAGGGAAGCCGATTCCAGCACGTCCTGGAAAAGTTCTGAACCTATGGTCAGGCTTTTGGGGCTCCGTGTCCAGCTGGGGGAATTTTCCTTCGCTTTCTCTGAAGCCACCTCCGCCTGCAGTTTCACTGGCGCCTTCTGAATTGGGTCCGGCACAGAGCCGGAGTTAGCAGCACCTCAGCAAGGCTGCGCACCAGGCTTTTATAACCAGCTGCAGAGACGTCACGGGCAAGGGGCAGTACCTGGGTTGCGTCCTCGTGTGCGCAGCGCGGCAGCTGCGCCAGCGGTGGGAGACTGTCTCACTCCGCTGCAGTCACCACGCCTTTTGTTGCTTGCTACCTGCTGCGGGATTCTGTGAGCCGGGAGCCCCGCGCACTCCACGAGGGGGCAGTAGGTGGCCTAGGAGGAACAGCCAGATAAGGGTTTGCAGCTGGACCCCGAGGCGCTTGGGAGAGAGGGCGGGCGGGCTTGGCATTAGCCAGTGTGGAGGGCACTCAACTTGCAGGGAGGCCGGAGCCCTGCGACAGCTTTGCAGGGATGCCGGCCTCTGGCAGTGGGAGTTGAGCAAGTGTGAGGGCAACATGCCAGTCCTGCGCTCCTGGCTGCGTGCCAGCCGCTGTGCGCAGCGGGCTCGCTAAGGATGCTATCAAGGAGTGATAAACCAGGACTACAAAGACTCTGTGTTCCAGGTGTTTGGAAAACAACTTTCCGGAGGTTGTATTGGGAAACGCCCCCCAAAACACCCCCTTTCTGGCAGGCTGGTTCTCCTGGGGAGTGCTAACAGGCTCCAAGCTTTGGGTGCACTTTCCCCAGCTACTCTAGTGGATTGGCTCCTGCTGAGAGGGAAATCTGAGTGCTCCGGGTAAGCACTCGGGACTGGGCTGGAATGCCTAGGAAGCTGAGGGAGAGTAGGAGCCACTCCAAGTCCAGCCTGTGGCTCACACACTCGGCTCAGGGCTCTCTGCAGACACCCACTGCGTTCTTGCCTTGGCCGCCCCAGAGGACCCCCTCCGCACCTTTCGAGCCTCCAAGGGCGGAGGGGGAAGGATCAGATGGCATCGGGGTTCGGCTTCCTCCTCTGTCCCCCTTGTCAAAGGTCTGGAGAGCAGGTCCGCCAATCTCTGCTCCCCATTGCACCCCGCCCCTTTCCCCGGTCCAAGACACTGGAATTGAGATGGGGCAAGGCACTGGGAAGAGGCGGGTGAAGACTTCACCTGGCTATATGAAGCATTTTAGAGAAGCAGCGATGGGGTTCACCGTGGCGGAGCAGCCCACCCAATTGTGGGAGAAGCAGGTCCAGGTCGCTGGAGCTTGGACCTCTGTTCTTGCTCAGGGCCCCATCTACGCCCCTGCTCCACCCACCTCCTCTCGCTCTCCAGCTCATCCTCTCAGGGGACTTGTTCACGCACAGCTCTGGCACCAAGCACGCAAAGTATCATGAGAATGATTTTAAGGATTGAAAGTGCATTGATTTATGCTGGGCTGACGCAGGATCCCCTTGCGCGGCCAGGGAATGTGCTAACTTCCTCTGGGGATTTCAGCGTCCGTAGAATCAGACTTGCTTACTCTGCCATGCGTTCCTAACCCATACAGTGACACATTGGAGTGAACAGCGCCCCCTGATACAGAGCAGCGACACAAGAGGGAGGAAGGGGGCGAGGGTGTGTGTGTGTGTGTGTGTGTGTGTGTGTGTGTGAGAGAGAGAGAGAGAGAGAGAGAGAGAGAGAGAGAGAGAGAGAGAGAGAGAGAATGAACAAATGGATTTCACCTCGAATTTCCCCCTTCCTGATTCTCCAAGGCTCTTTCCTGCCCTCTCCCTGACCAGTGGAGGCAGCCTGAAATTTTCTAAAAAGAACTTCACTAGGGAAATACATTTTATCCAAGAAGGAATAATGCAAATGAAATACAAAATAAAAGCCTTTAAAGTAGTTATCTTTCCTTAGTAGAGTCTATGGAGACCTTAACCCAGGGGTTGGGGCTGGGAGCTGGGGATGCAGGCAGTGACTACAAAGATCTTATGATGAGAAAGGTCCCGAGCCCTGTGTTAGGTGAAAGAAAGGAAGCCAGCTTTCAGAGACATGGAGGGAAATAACTCTGACCCGGAGAACAGAGAAGCTTATCCGCGGCAGAGCCTGGAAAGTGAGTGTGGGCAGGACGAGGCTGCGGCTGGAGAGGGAGGCAAGCTAGGTGAAGGCTTGGAACCCTGTTACCCTGCAGAAAGGCCCTCTGAGGGTGCGGTGCTCATTTAGAGGACCGCCCACCTCCTGGCCTGGCCCTTGCTGGCAATGCCTTCCCAGCCCCGACACCTTCCCAAGCCACACCGACTCCAGGATGCATTGGGGCAATGCCCTTGTCCAGAGAGTACTTAGGACTTGTGAAAATTGATTTCTCCCCCACAGCAAACAAAACACGCTCAGGAGAGTGATTAAAACGAAGCCTCAGCCACAGCATCACAGGTGTCTTTGGTTCACACACAAGCAACCACAGGGATCTCTTCCAGTGCCTCTTCTAGAAGGTAGTGATTTTCTTTCCACACAGGGATTGCTTTGCACAAATGTATAGCTAGCTATGGCCTGAAGGCACTGACTGCCTCCAAGAGCTGCTCTCTTTCTCCTTCTTAGCTTTGGCTTCCATCTCCACTGTACTCCCTTCCTGACACACAACCCAGAGACATCCATCTCAAAGTAAATCCTGCTTACAATGTAGTTAAAGCCTTCCTTGTTTGTACAGGCTCTGGAGTACTATCTAGACAGAAACATAAGCCCAAGTAACACGTAATACATGTCTGTGTTAGGACTTTGTCTCCATTTTGTTTTCCTCAATCAAAACATTTAAGTGCTTAAAAGTCACCAGGTAGAGATTTAACTCATTCTTTTCAGTGGATAAATATTATTCTTTGGATATAGATGTGCCATCATGTACACAAATTCTGTTTCCAGTCTTTGCCCCTGAAGAAGACAATGCTATAGTAAACATTTTCTATGTAGTTCTCCGTAGCATAGATTCCAAGTGAAATACTGAGTTAACAGATTGGTGTTATACCCATGTGTATATATGTAGATGTGCTGTGTTTCTGTGGATTGCCATCCAAAAATCATGTCATATTGTAACATTTCACTAGCAGTTAAATTGCATTTTTTTTTCAAATCTATTCCAGGAACAGGTACTAAAATTTTCTTACAGTTTTATCACTCTGTCATTCTGGTGACTATAAAATATTGGAACATTGCTATTGTACATTTCCCCTACTGCTAGAAAAACGGAATTTCTTTGAAGTGGGTTTTTTTTTTTTTTTGCTCTTTGAATTTTCCTTTTTGTAAGTAGTCTATTGGCATCCCTTGCTACTTTTCCTGTTTAATTGCTTTCCAGTAATGTTTTATAAGTACTCTTTATGTATTTCAGGTACGAACACTCTCCTAGTCATTAACATCTCAATTATTTTAATACTGGTATTTGTCTTTTGAATTTCTTTTCTACAGAAACTTGAGCAATCTTTACATAGTCATAACTGCTTTAATAACATTTGGGTAATCCAGTCTTGGTATAAAATAGTCTTTCCAAATCCAAGCACTTGGTTTTTCAAAAGGATGTCTAAATTTTCAGGGTTTTTTTTTTTTACATTTATTTCTTCTTACATTCAGATATTTAATTCATCTGAAATTTGCTATCTTGTATTAGTAAAAATATATTTAATTTTCCTCCATAGTTAGCCATCCTCTTTCCCTAGATTCTTTTCAGTTATATATGATTTTATATTTATGTTCTCCAGTCCTTCCACTGATGCATCTGTCCATTTACTTATTCCTACAGTAATGCTGTACCTAACATACGTCCCTATGTATATGGGCTATATATATATATAAGTATGAATATATATTAGTATATATATGAAACATACTTACAGACTTATATGCATATACATCAATACACATATTTGCATGTATATTTCCCCCTGCCTTCCCTCCCCACAGATTAGACAGAGCTATGTGACTGATTCAGCCCAGGGGATATTAGTGGAAATGTTGTGTGTCACTTCTAGTCTGAGGCAGCGAAGTGTCTCTGTGTGTGCATGTATAAATATGTGAAGGCGAGGGACTTCTTTACCTATTTTTTGCCTCTGCAGAATCTCCACAAACCCAATGATGTAACTCTGATATGGTAGGGACGGGAATTGTGGCACAGTGGATCAAGTCGCCACTTGTGATGGCTTCATCCTACACTGGATCCGCTTGTGATCCAGCTTCCTGACTATGTGCCTGGGAGGCAGTGGGTGATGTCCCAGGAATGTGTGTTCCTGTTATTTATCTAGGAGAACTACATAGACTTCCTGGCTCCTGGCTCCAAAGCTTCTGCCTGGCCCAGCCCTAACTCTTACAGGCAACTGGGAGATAAACCAGCGGATAGAAGATCTCTCTTTAAGTAAAACAACAACAACAACAACAACAACAAAATCAAATATGCCAGGTCTCTATCATGTTGAATAGTCAAATGACTATCAAATACAGCCCCATTCAAAATCATTCTGGACAAGAAGCATGATCAGGCTCCATAGTTAGGGCATTAGAGTTTGGAGCTAATTTTTTTAAATTTATTTTGTAATAACTCATTCTGATTCACACAGAAATAAGGATTATGATACCCAGAAAGGCAGGTTCACTCGATTGCTCATTTCATATCATGTTTTCCTAATACATAATTTTGGACATTATGTTTAAGCCTTTTTTTTTTTACATTGCTTAAAGGACAGCTTTACTGAAATTTAATTCACTTCTAACACAGTTTGGCAGTTTATAA